GCAGAGCCGCCAGGTGCCACTCCGTCAATACCGTCTTGCCCGGACGCCCAGTGAGGGCCCCCCGAGTTTGGTTTCGGTGAGGCTTGGATGGAAAAGAGTTCCGGAAATTCCAACGCATTTTTCACTCGTTCACTCATTTTCACCGCACTCTTTTTTTGGTTCCCTGGGCCATGAGTATTTTTTTCAGAACCGCATTTCTGCAAGGCCCTGCGCAAGTTGAAAAGGACATGGTTGCAGGCGCAATGCGCGACACATCCACTCATCCACTTGGTGTATCAACAGTTGGAACATTGGCAAGCCTATTTATTCAATTTTTCTTTTTATGTCAATTGAGCCTTCCTATCATCGTTGGATGTAATGTTTTTCTGCAGCAGTGTGCGTCCTTTGGATTTGTTTTGGCCTTGGACTTTCCAAGATCATCTCTATTCAGTCTTTCTTTCTTTCTTTCTTTCTTTCTTTGTGCGCGAAGTGTCCGAAGCCGCCTCGCACGCTGAATTCCATCCAATTAGACCGATGGGTAGTCAGGTCCTTCAGTTCTGCATATTCTCTTTGTCAACCATTCCACGTCTTCAGGAGTTGGGATCGCTGCATCCGTTTTCCGCTGCCAAGCCTCGAAAAGTCGTGCGAACAATGCAAAAGTCTGGCGGGTACCGCTCAGACCTATCGAGGAGGCCCGGACATCGCTACTTCGCAACTCGATGGCTTTCGCTACTTCGCTACTTCGACACCACCGATGAGAAGATTGGTCAGTTTGGCACTTTTAGTGCCGAACTGGCCCTGCAACACAGCTAGTTCGAAAAACTGCTTCGTCTCGCCTCGCGCAACCAGCGTATCACTTGTGTCTTCCAGATCGATCCGTGTCGAGCACAGTGCCTGGTTCCCACCTTGTGCCGACAGCCAGCTGCTTGCCTTCTTGCATGACGACATCCGGCCTGCCCCATAGGTTTCAGTAGCTCCCGCAACAGTCGTGGTGCTCTGTTCACTTCTACTTCCTCGAGGCGTGCAACAGACCACGTCTCGCAAGGTGCTCCAGCAAAGCCTGCGGCAACCAGGCGATAGATGTTAGCCTGTTGCATGAGGTTGCCGTGCTCTTCACTTACCATGACATCCAGTGAAATAACAGTTATCACTTATCACAGCGTCCTCGGAGACAGATCCGCTCGATTGCTGCTTGCAGGTCTCCATCTCTTCGTCTGCCACTGAAGAAATTAGGATGAAGATCTCGCTTTGGACTATCCACGGCAGGCACAAGCGGCATTGGATGCACCGACTCACGCGCTTGCTCATTGTCAATGTCTTGGATGCATTCGTCTTCAGTTTTCACCATCTCTATCAAGTATTTGATTGAGTCAAACAACCGCATCCTTCAGAGCTTGCTGAATGTCGGACTGCTTGGGCGCACTATACTTGTCAATGGCTTCGCAAATCCCAGATCGATTGTCATCAACAGGCAGCACCCTACATGTGATGGTCCACAGGTGCTCAAAAAGATGGATTCTAGAGAGTCGTCTTCTGGCTGGAGGAAGCCCTTCAATGCATTCAGAGTTGCATTCGCGAATTCTAATGTCACGCTGCAGTGCATCAGGTTTGTCAAGCTCATTGTCGTCGACATATGTCCAGGATATTGATCATGCCGGTCAGGGGGCAGTACGTGCTTATCTAGCATATCATGGTTCTTCCACAGCAGCGCTGACTCGTTCGGTGATTTCGCAAGGGTTCCTGACCGGTAGTAGCGCGCGAATACCCAGGGCAGACTGACCTTCTCTTGTATCGCCAGGTGCCTCAGGAGGCCCAAGGCTGGGTATCCGAACCGGGGTGAAACACCGGCGTTGCGCACCGGCCGCTGGATGTGAGGCCTTCAGCGCTCTTGCAGATGTCATCACCTCGCCACAGCACAGCGCATGAGGTGCATGAGGTGCCCAGAAGTGCTAAGGAATCGATGTAGAATTGATGGTATTGTGTCACCAAATGGTGTTTGCTGAGGCAGCTTCAAGGCTTTCAGGTTTCGGAAGGTGTTCTCCGTTTGAATCAACATGTTCCCAAGTTCTTGCAAGTGAAATTGCTGCTTCGTTTGCAACTCCTGCTCACATGCAGTCCATGGAACTGCTTCAGGACGAGGACAGCAAGGAGATCAAGTTTCAGGCCTTGGCATCGGGGCATCCGGGGCAGACCGGTTTTTCCACATGACGCCCCTGACAGGAGCGTAAGAGAACCACGAACCACAAACCTAAAGATCAGTCAGACTTTGACAAGATGTATTTGGATCAGGATAAGTTCCTCTAGATTGATGGTGATGTTGGAGGAGAGTGCAAGCCATAAAATAGAATAGAGAAGAAATCCACGTATGTTTGGCTTGCCAGTTAGATGTCTTTTCACCAAGCTTTTCTAGGCAGGTTGAGTCCAATTCCTCTTTCATGGTGTCGACCGCACCTGCCTCAAGGCCCACGACTTCAGCGAAGCAAAGTGATGACCTGAGAACGGACATTTAGCAGGTGCTCGAACTTCGCATAGTTGAGGAACAGGTAGAGGCGAAAATGAGACAATCCAGAAGGCAGAGGTTCCATCAGAGGATAGAAATCCGGCTAGGGCAACATCAGAGTTCTCGTAGCTCAGGTTTCCGCTGGAGAACTGTTCTACCTTCAACTTGGGAACTGGGTTGCCCTTAGGCAAGCCTACCCAACATCCCAACATCCCAACACAGATCCCGAGCACTTTCCCAAGAAACTTCCTGGCTTCTTGGGCAATCTCATCAGCCCACTCCCTAAACCGATTCAGAAATCCCAAATTTGTCTTCGAGCTTCTTCCACGCAAAGTCAAGGGAATCCTGAGCCTTTGGGTTTCGATTCAGCTCACAGGTCTTGCTACCAATGGTTTGGCTTTCTCCAACTGCCAACCTGTCATGTAACAAAATGCCTGATCCTTCTTGGATGTTAGCCCAACAGTTGCCCAAAATGCACAGCCAATGATTGCAGTGGACGAGGTCCACAGCCCGGCGACTTTGGAATCTTGGCGAAGCAAGCAGAGAAGGAATGATACTGTCACATACTTTCACTATGATCCGAGAAGTGGAGTGCTCTTTGCAACCGAGGGATCCATATGCAATAGCTTTAGGTGCGGCTTCCGAGTTTCGCTGAAATGCTCCGGCGCTTGAAACGGCCATGGAGTCCCGTGCCAGGCCGCTTGACGCACTCTAACATGATCTTGCCCGTGGCAGCCATCTTGAGCATTGCCTTTAGCTGTTCAGTAGTTGTTGCCCACTCAGCTGAAGAATTTGCTAGTGAATGTGCAAGTCGGCTTTTTCTCCTGCTTCGTTTGAGGTTTGCTTTGTGGTGATCTATCGGCCTAGACGGAGCAAGAATCTGGACCATCAGTTTGGATCAGTGAGGCAGGGGGCCAGGGCTGGCACGGGCGCCCGTGCACTGCACTGAGAGAACGGGGAAAACCAGAAACGAGCTGCGCAGGCTGGGCTTGCCTCCGGGATATCCGGGATATGGACGCAAATCTCATGCCAACTGCTGGTGGGCCAAGCGCTTTGAAAAGCGGTCGCTCGGTAGCCTCGCCTGGTCGTCACGCGGCAGGCTGCGGTAGGTGCGCCACAAGCAGCAGTGGCCTCGGAGCTTGGACAGTTGGAAGGAGAGATCTCATGCAAGCTAGGAAGTCACAGGAAGTGAGGAGTCGAAGTCAGGAAGTCTGGAGTTTGGGATTTTTTTTGGGAGGAATGAGTAATTAGATGTTTTGAACCTGAAGATTCCAGATGTTCTTGACTCGAGTCAAGCATAGGGTTCGGTGTGCTGCCTATTGATGTCAAGGTTCGCTGAAAAAAAGTTCAGGTGCTGAATTTGCGACGGCCCGATGAGCCTTGCTGTCACCAGGAGTGGAGCAGATTGTTTCTGGTACATTGGGAGGTTGAAACTTAGCACAAAAGCTGATGACAAACGGAAGTACCAAGGACTCCTTGGTATCTGTATTTGTCATGCACTCTGTGGGCCTATGGGAGGCTTCAAAGGCCTTGGAGTTTTGTGCAGGAACTTGGATCAGACCTTCTTCTCATTGAGAAGCAATTTCCGTGCAATGAATGCGCAAAGATAGGTAGAAGTGGTCAAATGCTGCAAGAGGCAGACTAAAAGCAGGTGAGAGGCCAATGCTTCATCCCATCAAAGGCAGCAGCCCCACGGAGTGTTTCATTGAAGTTCATTCCGTGTTTCTCCTCAAGTCGCATGTCACCGCACCTGCTTTGTATCCTAGTCGTTGCTGATAGTCTGCGCATGGGTTCGACTATCAACCCAGCCTTCATACTTGTATGCACCAGCTTGAACTTTCATCGTTTGCCGGAACATCAAAAGGTGTAGACCACCACGTGGAGGATTCGTTGGCCACAACGGATTTCGAGCGACGTTCCGGCACTGGATGATTTGCCCAGTGGAAAGTTCGTGCGCTGGGCTCGAAAATGGCGCGAATTCTTCAAGGTCCTGGTGGGCGAGGACGGGCCTTTGTGGAATGAAGAATGATCGAAGCACAGGGGAATCCAACTTCTTTTTTTCTCTTCCTCACTCCAACGCCAACACGGGTTTCCAATATTTTTCCGTTTCCATTTAGCTTGTACATGGGAAGTTGACGAAGCAACTTAATCTAGGAGGGTCTTGCAACGCTCAGCCAGCCAGAGCAGTTATGACATTCAGGTGTCACTGACTGTTTTGCTCTCGTGGAATCGTTTGGCTTCCAACGCAACTTTGAAAGAGAACAATCTGCACATGTTTCATCCATAGAGCTTTCCCAAGGTCGCAAATCTTTGTGTTTGCCTAAGCCTTAAGGCTACAAATCAGTCCCATCCCAAATCAACTGCAGAATCGCAATATGTCACAACGGCAGTTCCGCCATCATTTTTCATAGATGTCGTGAGTTCTTTTGGGAGATCCCAACTGTTTTTGACCACATGGCCCCCACCCAATATGATTTCAGAGAGATGTTTATATCACCTGCAGCATGTGAACCCGTTGCGGAAAAGGGCATGTTTTTCGGATGTGAAAGAACGCCTCCGCACTGCCGTGGCCTGCATTCGAGTCCCTTACAAGAAGGGGGCCTCCACCTGCAACAGCAGCATGGCGGAGGAGGCTGTGGAGTTGTGGCAGGCGTCTCTTGGTGGAAGAAGTGGTGGGGGTGGTTCCAAACTCAATCAGGTTGACGTAGTTGACGGTTTCGTTGGGAAGTTGCCACGGTTTCGTTAAAGAATCGGATCTCGAAAGAAAGACCCAACTTACGGACTCGAGGTCATCTCGAGGCAGGAAACGCAAGTCGACCTGCACGCCAACTAAACCTGTAGCTTGGCGCTCCGACTTTGTCCTGAATTGCTGGCTGGAATGAATCATGTCCAGAGACATTGGCAACAAGCTAGCAGTCCATCCGATGAAACGTAAGAAAGAAGAGGCCACGCACACACGTGCATCATGCATCTCTTTTCAAAAACTGTTCGTCCTTTTTGCTTGGTGTTTGGCAGATCTTTTTTGAGCTCTTTTTACTTTCCCGGCAGCAAGGCAAAACCAGGAATAAAGGGCAAACCAAAATAGAGTTATATATATATATATCTAAAGATGGACATCCGGTTCTTGGGGCCTCCCAGGTCATGAATCGCAGCGTCTTCTGGCTGCCAAGTCGCACGCTACAGACCTGCGTGCCCTGAACTTTGATCATATAGGTTTGTTGTGCCCTGGCATGAAAACAAATGATGCATGTCCGGGCTCACCTTGTCATCGTTTGGGCAAGGCAATGTTGGGGGTTGTTGTTCCGAGACTGGCGAATGGTTGCTTTTGATGCGTAGTTGCCGTACAGTATGAGGATACCAAAGCGGGCATTTGAAGAAGTCAACCAGTAGTGAAAAAAAAGGGGCATTCTCTGCAGGTACCAAACAGTTGAACGCCTGAAATGATTCCTCCTGTTTCCCAGTAGCAAGAAATCCGCCTTCGCAAATTGCAAGCTAAGCGCTGTGACTGTTTCCAAGAAACTGAGGGGCTGCCGGATGACTTGACCTCCGGGCCCACCTTGGTGAAAACTGAGTTGAATGCCTTGGAGAATCAGGTCACCAATCTGTGGCAGGTGCACCTTCAGGTTCTGCCAGCACTTGACATGAGACGTGGAGGAAGCGAGACGTCGATGGGAAGCGACGGTGAAATCCGATGCTTGAGAGTCATGGAACTGGATCGATGCTTGTCCCGCCGAGCCGCATGCTGCGCCGGTGCAGAACCGCGGCCGTGCCAAAGAGCTCTGGAATCAAGGTCAACGCTGGAAAATGGAGGTCAGCTGGAGCAACGCGGCCTTGTGAGAGCTGTTTTGTTCGCATCTCCAATTGGATCGAATTTGGATGCCAGGACTTCGATTCCGCTCGGACGACTTCTTCCGGTCGTCCGGTCGTGCGGAGGCTTTCCAGGGCACGATGATTCGGGTGGCAGACGGCAACAAAGTCGGGGAAAAGCACGAACCGGAGCTGCAGAAGAACAGGTCTGCATGCCCAGAAGGCTGTCATCCGTTCTGGCTTGAGAAATGATGCACGCAGAGTCTTCAGGATGATGCACACACAGACATACACACACACACACACGAACAGCAATCTAGAATCTACTGCAGGCACATGTTTGAAGCCATTTGATTTGAGTGGCGTCCAGAGCTCCCATGAAGAGATTTATGTACATACTGAGCCGACCTTTTCCTTTGTGTGGCATCAGCAAGAGTTTCATTGCTTGGTTTCTCAGTAGGGGCAGATTTGTCCGAACGGTGGTTCAACCTGGGCAGCCTTGGTTAGAGTCCAACGACGCATTCTTCGGCTTTGGGCACTTGGTAGCGTTTTGCTACTAGTAACGATGCCAGGAGCTACTGGTAGCTTCTTGCTCCTAGTAGCGATGCCCTTGTTCCTAGTAGCATCTTGCTACTAGTAGTAATGGCCTCCAACCTAATAGCTTCTTGTTAAGCGAAGTGAATTTGGAATGAGCCCTCGCGGCGACTTGGGCACTGGCAAAGTTTTGTGAGCTGTTTTGTCGGTGATGCCTTGCAGTGTCGAAGCGGGGATTGCTATACTGCGGATTTGCAGCCTAAGGGTCTAAGTACAAGGCTTTGGCTGACAGCCTTGTGGTTCATAGGCTTGACTTTTTCCAGAATAGGTCCAATCAACAACTCATAGGCATTTTCAACCTAAAGGCAACCTTTTGCAATGATATCTTTTTTGTGAAGGCTGTTTCAGCTTCAAAGGTTTCCGTGGCAGCACGACCATCGAATATGGAGCTAGCAATCTTGCACGTATGGGCAAGACCCCAGTCACTAAGTCACTAAGTGATGCAAAGTCGAGTCAGCATGGGTTTTCAGGAAACAGCTAGGCTATGCTCTCTAAAGAATGTGCAAAGATACGTCGACTTACATTTTTCGCTTGTCTGTGAGACACCACTTCTTTCCATGGAGAATGGATGGGAGGCCGTGTTGCCCCAGCCTCAGTTTGATTGCCGAGCACTTCTCTTCACCATGTCCTTCCATTTTGCTCTGTGAGGCCAGAGTTCTTGCGTCGCTTTTCTGCTCGGCCACTAGCCCTGTGTGATGGCACCGTGGAGGAGGCGCCCAACTGTGGAAGGCTCCTTGGCTGTTCAATTGACGAAGGGACCGGCATTGGCATCGGAGTATGGCCCTCAACCTAAGAGCGATGCCCTCCAACCTGATAGCAATGGCCTCCAACCTCCAACCTGGTGGCTGAAGTAAGGCCAGATGCTGAGCAGGCTGAACTCCAGCGCGTGCGGGCTGCGCGACCCTTGCTTCTCCAGAAATGCAGTGCCGATGACATGAGTTCTTTTGCTGCAGTATTCCTTGCCCGGTGCAGAGCAACAAGTGTAACAACTCACAGTGTCACAGTCCACAAAAAAGAAGGGCAGCAGGGATGGCTTGGACCCTTGGACCAACAACGTACAACAGACATGGACTGAGAATCAGTTCTTTTTGACCGTTGGGCATTCGCGGCACGCGGTTTCCGGGCCCCAAGTCCCCTGGACCTATGTAAGGGCCGAGGCAGCCCTTACATTCTGAGTGTGCTGCCAACGGCAGTTGGCTTTGAAACCATTGAAGTATGAATGGAAAGCTCGATTGTATGGCACATGAGGTCTAGATCAACTTGTCCGAGAGGGCTTGACTGCCGCAGAGCAATCCTTTGTTATCAAGAAGGCCATCATCGCTCATTTTGTGCTTTAGTTGTGCACTGTGGCATGCGTGCTTTTCGCTGTTCGAGGTGTTCAGTTGCTCATCTGGTGCATCAGCAAATGCAACGAGAAGACCTGGCCCGGCCTGGCCCTAAAAACACGCGCGTTTTATTCATCGATGGTTTTTACAAGAGGCTGGACATTGCCAACGGGCTCAAACGGTTTAGTGCTGTCATGCAGGTGCTTTGGTTTGTTGGTTCTAGCGTTGCGTTGCAGACATTGAAGTTGCGTGGATGAGGTCAGAGTTCTTGGGAGCCGCAGACCGCGGCAACCCTTCCGCTGGCGAGCGCGGAGAAGCCTCCGCCCGCCGCCTTTGGCCTCCGAATCCGACCATGTGATGAGCGCCGACGAGGTGGACCGCCACTTTTGGAGCCACAGCCGTGGGGTTGACCCTGCAGGTTGCAACATCTCAGTCCTATCAGCTGGTGCCAGGTGGCCAGAGAAATAGAAGAAAAGTTGCTCCGCCACCAGCGTCGATTTTATGAGCACTTGGTGCGAAGGCACGGTGTGATTCAAAGAGGATGGCTTGCTCAATGTGTTGTGGCGCTGATAGGTATGAACTCTCTGCAGAGAAGAAACTCCAGATGCCTGGCGGGCGTGCTGTCACTTGTGAGGCGGTGGCCCAGGCAGGGGCCATGGGTTTCGTTGCTTCGCTTTGCTGTGATCACTTGTAGTTGACTTCTGCGCAGCCGCGACGATGAGAATGATGGGTGGGCAGAAATGGTGATTCTCAGTCTAACGCCCCAAGCAGCTTGCTGACAAACATCAATTCAAAGTTCATGTTCTTCTTGTTGTTCAGTCTCTACGAGGGTTGGCTTTCTTCCCCTCCTTTCTCAGTTTCTTTTTGGTCGGGGGTTGCTGAGCTACGGGTGAAAGGCACGGCAAGCCATGGAGTCCACGATGGCAAACTTGGCAACGCATACGCCGCCAAAGCGTTCGCACGTGAGCGCCCCAGTCACATGATGGTAGGGCCTTGGTATGCATTGTGCCGCACTTAGCGCGATGGTCAGGACATGGACGAGAAGACGCCTGAAGGCCGGCTGCGTGCCAAGGACGCGTTGTTTGCCAGCTTTGTTTCGCGCCGGCGGCGGTTGCTTGAGACCAGCTAGGCAAAGCAAAGCGCCCCAGAATTGACAGCGAGGCTTGGAGAAACAAACCATGAGAAACATGTGCCCAGTGCCAACGACTTTGTATTGCACTTCAGCAGCAGCCTGCTTGCTAGGATCAGGTGTTGGGCCCGCAGGACGTGTTTCACGACACAGTGGCCGAGGCATGCATAATCGAATTCTTGTTGCCAGAAAACCTTAAGGACATTTACGACCATACATGAACCACGCCTCGTTGTGTGACTTGTTCGGGCGCCTGAACATTGTATAGAGAGTTTTTTTCTCGAATCTTCGGGTTCTCCCTCATTTTATTGAAGCGCCGCCGTGTTGAAAATTGTTCTGCAAGATGTGCTTTCCAGGCTCCAAAGCCAAAAGCCAAGAGCCAGGCGCGAGCACACAACTTTGTTGCCATCCAAAACTGGTTCGGCTACTGCTGCAAGTCTGGAGGATTTACCGCAAGACTGCACTGCATTGTTTCCATCGCGGCTGCAACACGCAGCGCTTTGGATTGGACTGTTGATAGGTTTGGTTTGTTGATAGGTTTCTCCCGTGACTTGTGCCAGCACAACTTTCAGCTATTGTGCGGGCATTCCATATGGGACGCTTTTGCCACCTGCAGGATGGGAGACAAAGCCAGGCCGAACAAAAACCTGCTATGGTGTGGTGCTGAGCGGAGAGTTTGGTTGGGCCAGATCTTGTGTTTTGTGTTAGCTGCCTGTTTCCATCGGCAAGATATCAGGGATAACGCTTGGCATACGCATACGTCAAGGTTAGCCATATCCAGCCCAGCCAAACTCATGCCAGGATTTTAGTTTTCTTGAAGCGCCGCAGTGTTGAAAATTGTTCTGCAAGACATGTTTTCCAGGCTCCAAAGCCAAAAACCAAGAGCCAGGCGCGGGAACACAACTTTGTTGCCATCCAAAACTGGTTCGGCTACTGCAGCAAGTCTGGAGGATTTACCGCAAGACTCGCAGCGCTCTGAATTATATAATGAAATGCACACGCAATCAGTTTGACACAGTTTGTTTTCAATATATGGGAGTCGATTTATTGCTGAGCTGCCTTTTGGGGCACCATCACCCATGAAGTGATTGACACTCTGCAGCACGTGTGCCAAAAGCGGGCTGGACTTTTTGAGCACCTTGTCTGAAGACTTCAAAGCACATTTCCTACAAGGTGTCCTAACTGTGTCGTTTTGGGCACCCAAAGCAGGGTTCCCAGGACACTTGTTGTGTGCTTGTTTGTGTTTCGTTTGTCGCGTCTGGCGTTTCAGTTGCTTTGTTTCTTCCTCAGAAGAAAAACTCCGTTGACCAACCTCCGTGGGTGCAGGAGATGGGGTGTCGCTTGCTTCCGTCCGCGCGGCGTTTGTCACTCTGATGCGCACTGCCAAGGATGGTCTCCCATCCAGCTTCAGTTAAAGCATAGCAGCTAATCACATTCAACTTGATCCCAGCTTACTCTCTTCATCATGACCGTGAACTCTAAGCCTACCGTGAGCTCTAAGACCATGCCCCTCAGTGGAAGAATGACATATATCCCCCCTAGTGCTTGACCACAACCCCTGCCGCGACCCTTGCCCTTTGGCTTCTGGTCTGAGGGCACCTAAGAAGCTTGTCAGGCTTCTCTGGGTGGATCTTCCAACAGGAACGGCCGCACTGTGACCTGGCTCACCCCTCAAAGAACAGCTCTAAAGGGCCCTGGCGTAGCATTGAGCTCCCTCACAAGTTGTTCAGTTCCAGCCCCTGGCACTAACTTGCAGTGTTCCGGCAGGTCATGAAGAAACAAAAGGGACCATTTGCTTCATGAAACCCTCTGGCAGCAGTAGCAAAGGGCATCGCTACTAGGAGCAAGGACGCTACTAGTAGTTCCTGGCATTACTACTAGTAATAGTAGAAAAAGCTACTAGAAACAAGGGCTTTTGATCATGTTCTCAACCTTTGCATAGCCTTTTCAAAGCCCTGTTGAACCAAGTGGAACAACTGGTTGGTCGGGATTGTTCATCACTACCTCATGCTCCATTGGAAGTGCTTCCCTGAGCTCTGGACCAAACATGTCATGCGCCAAACACAACCCAAAGTGAACATTTTCATGATGAGCTAGTATCCTAATTTCTGACTTTACACTCCTACATCATACTGCGAAAGCAGGCTTTGCATAGATCTTGTGATCCAATCTTGGAATGGACGTGCCTACCTCACCTTTGCAAAGTGTGTGCATGAACATGACATTGCACGCATTTATTGAAGATGCAATTGCCACACGATCACTTCATCACATCTACTATCCAATGGCGATGGCCTCCAACCTTATAGCGAGGGCACCCAATCTAATAGGTTATGAAGTGTTTGCTCTTTGTTTTTCAGATTGGGGGCATGATATATAACCTCTTTCTATCACCGCTTCATCATCTTGCCTTGCATGCCAGCTAAGCTCACCTTGACCAGAACTGCACCACGGTGACAAACCGTTGAAAAGCCCAACGGCAGTTGCTATGACACCCCTGTTCAAAAAACCAACCCAACATTTGTACAGATGATTTTTTTTTTGCAAATATTCAGCTCAGTAGATTATATTGCACTGAGCCTCGCATTGTCAGTTTTCAATTTGACTGTCCCTGGATTAGTTTTGAACACTTCATGAGTTTGCTGGATTCTGTGATGCAGAAGTGCGAGTGGGAGAAGCAAACAAGAGGCAACCAACAGTGTCACATACGAGCTTTCCAACGTGTTTGTTTGTACCTGTTTTTGATTTGTTTCAGTTTTCTTTTGGTTCAACCGCCGGATGAACTATCCAACAAGAGCAAGCATCACTACCTTTTCATGGGCATGACTGTCAAAATGTGTTGTATGTGCAACTGACATGCCCACATAGGTATCTTCTTGTCACGAGCATATTTCCTTTGTGGGGCCCAAGGACTAGCCACTAGCACACACTTGGTGTAAGCTTGGCAACCAACACGGAAGCACAAACAACAAGAATGGGCACTGTCAAATACTTATCCTGTTGCCTGTGGAGGCTTTTGTCGGCATGATGCACAAAACCCACGTGAGCTGCTGCTTTTCAATCGTTGACACGTGAGGAACGGAGAACAATCACGCGATGCCTAAAACGTGATTTTATGTTCGATTTTATGGATTCTTCTGAGGCGTTTGCCGAAAATCCTGCAAAATTGATTCCTGGAAGTGTTGACTCTGATGTTTGTTTTTGCTTCTATCGTCACAAGAGCCAACATTTCAGAAGGAAGGACATTGCATATTGTATTGATTTGAGCGCACATGTTTGCGACCCCACTGCTTTGTCCCTTTCGGTCCTGCTTGTTGTTGTTTGACTTAAGTATGCATTGCAGGTTATGTCCAGATTTGGCTTTGCCAGTTGCTTCACCTTGGGCAGAAGTGGGAATTCTACGCCCAAGTCTCCAATTCAGATACTTGCATGATTACAGTGGACTCTCAGTCGATAGGCTCGCAGATGCGGATGAACATCTAAACCCGAGTTTTCTTTTTTCACCCTTTGTTGAACAACATCAGGTGCACGGATGCATGCGCAGAACATTTCTGCCAACAATATCAATATACTGCATAAAATGATGTTGCTCCATAGTATGTCACCATTGCAGACCTGATCAACTGTAGACTAACTGGGCCTACGTGGCAAACAGTACAATTTGAACATGCTACATGTTAGTTTGGTGAGCAGTATTCGCTGGAACCATGGTTTGCACGCGCGTGCGCAACATACTGTACATACCTTCCACCCTTTGCGAGGAAAGTAGACGTGTTTGGAGGCAACAAACCAAATTCAATGCACTCCTTTTTTGGGGTCTACAATTGTTTGGTTTCTTTCGCAGTTTGGTCAAAGTCATTTTTAGCAGCTTTCCGTTTTTACCAACCACATATGCCGTTTCCATACCATTTCTAATTTACGGTTTGAACATCCGACCCTCATTTTGAAGGATAATCTATTTTTCAAAAGCAGACCCTACAAACTTCTTTGAAGCAGTCTTGCCATCAACCCTTTCTGCCCTAATTTTGATCCAGCAGTTGTTCCAGATTGCTCAAGGGCGTTTCCTTTTGACACTTGTTCATTTGACCATGACCATGTCTTTTTCCCGGGCAACCCATGCAGATGTCTATGATGTTTTCTTCCGGATTCGTCCAGAGATTGAACATTTACAACGCAAAAATGCTTGCCGCTCAGCCTACTTGTAATGCACAAAAAAAAGGTCTTTCTTCGCCAAAGTCCTGTGCCATGATACTCCTGCATTTTTTCATGTTGTATAATTTTCACTAGATTTGTACGGAAAACTTTGTCAGCATAGTTCCGCAACTCTTCCTCCTTCGCCCAAGTCTGATGGATTCCAAAACGTCATTTCCCTCAAGAACCCAACTTTTACCTTTTACCGGTTTTGCCTCAATGTTTGCACCATTTTCTCTCACAATGATGTACTGGGCTCGGTGCTCCCCTTCAGGCCAGGTTTCAGACTAGCTGGGCGAAGGCACTGCTTTGACAAGGGGCTTATATAGTATGCCCATTTTGGTCAAAAGGATGCCCTGTAGCTTTCAGCAACTGTCTTCCTGCCCGTCCATATCAACTTACACGGTTTCTATGTATTAGATCAATCCATTCATTCCTTTTTGTTCTTGCGTCGCCTACCCGTCTTTCTGTAGACTTTTTTTTGGTGTTCTATATTATCAGTACATATCCTTTATTCTTGCCTATGTTGATATGTTGTGTTTTATTGTTGCATTCTTTCGAAAGCTGCCAGTTCACTTGCCGTATATAGTGTGTGACTTTTCTTTTCCTTGATTGATGTTTTTTTCAATTAGATTGTTGATGCAAGTATCGTTTGTGAAAATATATCAATCTACAATTACAAAACGACTTACATTTTTTCATTATTGTCTATATATATATATATAACTATATTTGCACATAAGTATGTGTATATATATATAGAACACAAACACACATACATAGATATATATATATATATCATGTTTCAGGTCAGGTCTGGCAGGCTTGGGTGAACATGGCTTCATTTCCACCATATCTCATAACTAACGAACATTTTGGCTCAAGTGCCTTGGCCAAAATAGCGTTTGTTCTCTCTTTTTGAGGGCGGGACCCTTAGAGAGGACTTTGTTCGGGGAGGGGCCCTGATACCCCATGAGCAACCTTGGCACCGGACTCGCTGTGCACACCAGGCACCAGGTGATCCATGCGGCTGAGTGGATGGAGTTCAGCTCTCGCATGGAGGAGCTGGTCGCGGAGGGGCGCGAGCGGGATGCCTGGCGCCTTTGGGCCTCTGTGGTGGAGCTTGTCCACTTGGGTTCCCCGGGGCCAGCCCTCTCCACCGCGGGGTTTCCCCCTGTCAGGCGTTTCGCTTGCGCCAACATCCCCTTGTGCTCGTTGCACGGATCGTCGGGGCGGTGTCCAGTTCCCATGGATCGGAGTGTGGAACCGCCGCTGCCTATTGGTTCAAGAGGGACTTGGACCCAGCGTTATCATGAGAGGCCGGCGCGCCTCGACCTTCTGGCACTTCAGTGGCTGGCATCGGACGTCGGCCCGTTGGACATCTTGCCCGTCCACGTGGGTCTGGCCGTGGAGCGGCTGGACGAGGGTGCGATGGCATCTCCGTGGACGAGTTCTTCCTTCTGGTCCGGATCTGGCAGCAAGGGCGGAGGCCATGGCGGGAACCATGGTCCTCTTTGCTAAGGACATCTGGCCTCACCCGCGAAGGCGTCCGACTTGGAGTTCATTCCCCCATTGTGCCTCCTCTGCCGCCTCTGTCGAGTCTGTCGATCGATCGTGTGCGAGAGCTGCAATCCACGGCAATGTCCGTTGTGTATCGACAGTTCTGGCTCAGACTAGCGCGATCGTCCTGGCAGGACT